CACACACACACACACTCACTCACTCACTCACACACTCACTCACTCACTTACACACACACACACACACACACACTCACTCACTCACTCACACACTCACTCACTCACTTACACACACACACACACACACACACTCACTCACTCACTCACTCACTCACACACGCACGCATGCACGCTCGCTTGCTCACTCACTCAATCACACACACACACTCACTCACACACACACACTCGCTCGCTCGCTCACTCACTCACACACACACGCTCGCTCGCTCACTCACTCACTCACACTTGACTGATTGCACAGACACTATTGGAAGAGAGCTGAACTGAATCATCACTGAATCATCAATGAACTGACTTTAGCTGGAAAAATGACTCTTTGTTGTTGTCTTCTTGCATTATTGACAAACTATGTTCCTGTTTAACACTGCAAAGCTGCTTTGATACAATCGGTACTGTATAAAGTGCTATAGAAATAAAGGTGACCTGACCAGACTATTATAATAACTCTGACGATATCAAATACGAGTGCGACAGGTAGACAGGTGAATGAATTGATGAATGGGTCACGCTTACTGTTGTGCCTCCAGGAACAGGGTTGTGAAACACTTGACTAGATGACCTATAACAGCCGATGGAGAGCATTATAGTTTAGCTCTTCTTTTACTCAGCCCATCAATCTATAGACCACATAGACATAATTTGTGGACAACACTGGCAAATATAAGTGCAACAAATCACATGCATTTAATGCCTCTGCTAAAAGTGGATATGTATTTCAGCAAAATGTACACATTAATTCACATTAATCTTACAGTCTTGTGTATTTTCAAAATGATCATCACTATGTGTAGGACCCTGGAGAGTTAATAATTTGACATTTGTGTGATGCAGACAGCAGTGAAGAGAAGGAGCAGCTCCGGGAGGCGTTGCTTTCTGGGCGTGTCCGTCTGCAGCAGGCGGAGTTAGTGGCGGAACAATGGAAGGAGGAGTTGAGGAGGCGGCAGACACACAACTGTGAACAAAGCCAACAAATCCAGCAGCTGCGACAGGACAGACAAAACAGTCAGGAGCACAACAACAGGTCAGAGAAGCCATATGAACAGCTTCATGTAAAGAAAGTTGTTTCAATAGGCAATTTCTGATCACTGTGATCTGTTTCTTACTGATAAGTGTGACACATGAATGAAGGCTGTGTAACTGCTGATCTGTGTTCAGACTGCAGCACGAGGTGACTTTACTCCAGCAGCAGTTAGCAGAGAGCAGACAGCTGCTACACTCCCTACAGAGTGAACTACAGCTGTACGACCGCGTGTGTGGCGTGAGAAAGAGCGCCGCTGCAGGTGAGACACCGCAAGCACACCGGAATGATCCACCCCACATCCAAAATAAAAAGATGCTGGCTTGGTTTATTTACCCTCATGTTGTTGCAAACCTATATGAGTCTCTTTTTTCTGTGAAACACAACAGATGTATGTAAAAGAGGCCCTTCGCTGCCGCTCGCTAATCTGATTTGCTGCGGTGCAATATCTATCATCATGTGAAGTGTGAATATGTACATCGGTGATGTTGAATATTGAGCACTAACCGCGGAGGGCAAGATTATCAGCAACTGACAGTTTCCAGTTGCTCAAAACGAATCAGGTATTGATTTAGTCATGCAGTCGGTGCACTGAGGCTGTTGAAAGGCTTGCTCTCTGTCGGCCGCTGCTGTAGGGTTGGTGTGTGAGGTGCGCTGCCCGGCGGTGGAGCTGCGGGAGCTGCTGGTGGAGGTCCGGGCTCTAAGGGCCCAGCTGGAGTGCAGTGTTCAGGAGAACAGTGATCTACGAGCTCAGCTGCAGAAACACCTGGATCAGTCCATCGATCAGCGCCCGTCGCCCATCATTCCGGCCAGTCCGCTGCGGGACGCGCTTTACCGCCGACAGCTTCTGCACGGTAACATTTTACACATGCTGATTTCACTTTGAGTGTCTTGCATGTGTCATTTAACAACTAGAAAACATGACGCTCGCGTGTGATGTGTTGGCATGTGCCCTGAGAAGTGCTTGAATATGTCAAGAATTACCTGCTGTTTGCCAGAAATGTTGCGTTTGAATAAACGTGATGTTTTTGTGATGTACTAACCGCTCTGCCGTGCTCCACAGACCCGTCTCCTTCTCCTCCTGTCAGAGACGTGGGGCCCCTGTACTCGCCGTACTCAGAGATGGAGGAGAGCGCTGTGAACACTAACGGTGTGCGTCTTTGCTAACCGTGAACTGCTCATATCACTGTTTCATTATTATTGATATGATTCTGCTGTGAAACAGTGTGCATTGTGAAAAGTGCTATGTAAATATAACTTATATTAATAGGCATGGCTTTAATGAGAACCTGCGCTTGTTTGTGACGAGTTTTAGCAATTCTGGCAGCAGCTCCAGATAAACTTTCCAACGACCTCCTGGAACCTGTTGAAGTACTTCTGGTTGAGAACTAGTTGTTAATGGTACTGTTTGAGGAATGTTCAAGTGCAGTAACTAGGTTGATGAGAAGAACTGAAAACCGTCTTTGCTTCAGACTCACTGGAGCCTCATGCGGATCTGGAAGGAGAAGCTCCGGACGGCTCGTTCGCGAATCGTAACGGGCGGCACGCCATCGGTCACGTGGACGACTACAGCGCCCTGCAGCAGCAGGTGATGGAGGGCCGGGCGCTGGTGCAGCGGATGGAGGCGGCGCTGCAGTCGAGTCTCAGCTCTGCCCTGCTGGAGATCAGCGGAGGGAAGGTGATGCTCAGACGCGTGACAGATCAGAGCGCTTGTGCAAACAGCAGTGGTGTCATGTGTTTCTCTCTTACAGGCTCTGGACTACAGCACAGTGAAGACGCTGCTCTCCGACACCAAGACCTTGTGTCAGATTCTGGACGAAGCCGTGTCTCTGCTGAAGATGTTCTGGCGGGCGGCGCTTCCGAGCAGCGACGGTCCCGCTCATCTCATTCAGAGGGTTCGAACCGCATTTATTGAGCCCTAAAAATCAAATGCAGTGTTAATGTGAATGAACTGAGCTGAATGTGGTGCTGTTTCCTCTCAGGAGCAGTCGATGCGTGAGGAGATCCAGTTGCTGCGTTTGAGGATCGCTGAACAGGAGGAGGTTCTTCAGGGAACCATCCAGAGTCTGCGCTGCTCCAACCGAACCAAAGAAAGCATGGAGACCTTCATCGTCAACCAGCGTGAGTCCAGACATGAAACAAACAGTGCTTTTTAGCCTAACAGCAGAATTCAGGCCAGTAATAGCCTGGTACAGACATCGAATAAAGTAATCAAATGTAAACTAAAACTGCATAATAGTCTTCACTGCGTGAATTAAACATCCCAAACACGACACATGACGCCCAAAGTATACTTAGCTTTTTTCATTTCGCTTCATCACAGAAAAACCGCCTGGGGAACAGCGCGAGTTCTTATGTGGCTTAATGCCTTTGTAATAACAACTGCATTTGGGCTTGTAGAGAGGAACGAAAGCAAAAAACAAAAAGGTCACATGCTGAGCGCAGCTCGTCTCAGTATTTGAACAATAACCAGTCCGAAGCTCAGGACCACAGACGAGTCCACTGATCACCTTTCATTTGTTTCAGTATTTTGAAGTTTGTCAAAGTGAGTTCAGACTTTTGCTCTTATATGTGGTTGGTTTGTTAGTGTAATGATGTCATCAGCATCCGAGCTTTAACAAACACGTCTGTCTTATAGTTTCCCGGACGCGAGATGTGCTGAAGAAAGCACGAGTGAATCTAGAGGTGAGTGTTCGGTTTCATCTCAGATAAATTGTGTTCAGTGCTGTTTGTCTCGTGTTTGTCCCTCATCTTGAATCTCGACCTCCTTCTTTCTTTCTTCTGTCTTTCCTCTATTTCTCTCATTTTCTCTGAGTGTTTCCAGAAGAATGAGCTCAGGATTTCCTCTATAAGCTCCTCCTCTTCCTCTCTTTGCCATGGTAACGGTCTGGGTTGTGGTGTGTGTTTCAGCTCACGCTGCTTGTGTCGTCATTGCTTGAGCACTTCCCTCTGTGAGATCAGTCATGTGACATCATGTGTCGCTTGAGTTACTCATGATTCGTCCAATCACACACAGGGACGAGATTTATCACATCTCACTGACATAAAACACAACTAGTGATACACCGAAATGATTGTTTTCTTGAAACAAACTAAACTTTTAGTTTATTTAATAATCAACACTCAAAATGAGTAGAAACATTTAAATGTGCACATAATGCAGTTTTTATTGTGGCTCTAGTCCAATTGAATGACTTTCCTGAGGTAAATGTGACGTGAATCCAGCATCCACACAGTTAACATGTTGTAGTTTATCCACACTGTGTGCATGATCATTAAACATCAGCGTTTCAACCCTGCAGAGCTGGTCAAATATTTTCTGTCATGAAGACATTTGATGCATCACTGCACACTACAGCATGTGCTAACAGACATATCAACTGATCCTGAAATGATTCAATAACATTACAGAATCTTCAAACCGACTCTGAGTGTGTGTGTGTGTGTG